CTTAATCTTCAACTTTTGACACTCTAACTCCATCAAATTATTAAGATTAATATTGAGAAATTTCGTTGAAGTTTTGTTTTGAAAGCCAACATCTTGCCTTGGTCTCACGCCTATGTAACGTTATATGATGATACCCATTGTTTGGACCAGGATCCATCGTCTTATATGATGACAAATCCGGCCAACAACACCTCACCATCCAATATGTGCCATCTCAATAACATACTCGTGAAATGAGACTTTCAATTCTCTGACTTTACTATGACTCCTGCCAACAGAATACCTGCGACGTACACCACCCGATGGAATACTCACTCAACGCCTATCAACAGCTCTCCGAGCAGAAGCCTTTCGACACAAACAAGAAAATACAATACATCTTGTGACAGATGTCGAAAGTCTCGTGTCAAATGCCCAGGAGGTGTTCCTTGCCGACGATGTGCTTCGTCCTCTGAATCACCCTGCATTTACAGCCTATCTCAACGACGTGGGAAGAAACGGGCATGTACAAGAGATATGTTATCAGCATCGAACGAGCTCCCTTCCTTGGAGATCACTCCATCAGATCTTGGCATAGGAACATTTAATTTGGAGACTGCACCAACAGTCGAGCCTCAGAACATAGACCCCAGTGTAGGTTTTCTATTAAGAAGACTTTGAAACAGGCATACTGATATAGTTAGTTGTTCAATGGCGTGCTGGGGTTTGATCAACCTCTTCCAGGCCAAGATGCAGGAGTCATCTCGGGAGCTTCAGGCAGTGCAAACTCTCCATCCCTGACAGAAATAGTGGACGCTCTGGACTCACCACCCCCATCTTTTTGTCTCAAGCCAATATCAAAGTGTCCCAAAGCGTGCTATGCAGACATACACGACATGAGTGGCATCGTGGATACTATAATGAAGAACCCCGGACAGACGCCACTCGACGAGATTCTATCTTTATTTCAGAGCGTCTTAAACCAGTCTGCACAGTACCTTGCCTGCCAGAATTGCGACACTGGTTGTCTTCGCTATATTAATCTCGTCATGCTTCATCAACGCCAGGTGAACCTTCTCAGCGAACTTGCAGAAGACCCAGGGGAATATCTCAGGGGCGACATGACGAATGTTACGTTGGGAGGGTTTCAGACCACTAAACAGGACGATATTGCGATAAGGCAGTTGATGGTCAGACAGGCGACCAGAGATGTCATACTCTCGGTTAATGCTGACCATGAGAGCGCCACGGGGTTTCAAAAGAGATATACTGCGGGAACATTGGATTTGAGTGACACGGGAAAGCTTAATGTGAAATGGCTAGTAGAGGTTTCGGAGAACCTCCAGAGAACTCTTGAATACGTAAAGGTCTTGCTGGAGAAGGACGATTGGGCTACCAAGCTGCTAGATGCATAAAACTGTATAGATATAGTGAAGGGCCCCTTGGGGATTCAAACAGCCTCGCTGGCAATAGTTAGACTGTATCTAATACGTCCACGCCCGGGAACCCCCCCCTACCCTATTTGATCAATGTGACAAATATGAAAACTAAGATAAATGATTGAGAACTAAGATAACAAAAAGTCCCAGGAGGATACAGGGTTACTAGTCAAACTGAACATCGTACTTCTTGCGCAGAGTCTCGCCGTAGCGCCAGAACAGAAGAGGTGCGATAGACACTAAGATGGCAATGAATCCAAGAAGTGAGTTTCCCTTAGGGCTGTCAGCATCAAATGGGTAACATAAATGGCGAACTAACCCATCCATAGCCAAGAGCCGAGTACAGCGGTAGCCCAGCAATAGGGAGGCATCCGCCGACTATACTACGTATGACACTTGTAGCAGCCAGAGCGCTAGCCGCATAGGTTGTGAAGGCGTCGATCATGTATATCTGGGTGGGGAGCTACTGCGCGTTAGTGAGGGTGTGCTGAAAAGGAATCGTTTCTTACAAATGAGAATATCAGTCCGGCCCCTGAGAATCCCGTGAAGATAATAGGTACTATCCAGTGAACCTCATACTCTGCTGTCCAACCGTACACGAACAATCCGATGGGAAGAAGGGGGATTCCAAGTGTAATAGGAAGTAACCGATATCTGAAACAGTTAGTGATGTTCGTTCGTTTTGAGGACATACTTACTCAGGCTTGGACTCTCCGTATTTCTTGGTAAGGCGGTCTTGAAGCCAGTCACTCAGCCAGGAGAGAACCACCAATGCAACAATACAGCCGATTCCCACTCCAAGAAAAGCAAGTCCAAGGATATCAATGCCAAACCCGTACTGCTCTGTGAAAACAGTGGAGAAAGTGGTAAAGAGAAGATATAGGTAGCCATATATCAATGCGAGATATAGAGAGAGGCCAGTGACGATAGGGCTGCGGATAAGCATTCTCATCGGTCTCACTAGAGCTCGTAATAGTACTTGGCTGACATTCGGTTCTTCTTTGTTAGGAGTAGGGTCGCCTGTGTCCTTGACTAGTCTCTGCTGGATCGTGAGGTGATGGGACTCGGTGAGAAAGAAGAAGGTCACGATCGTCATGACTCCTTTCTAAGCAATGACAGATCAGCACTGGGTGTTGAACATGAGATTGCACTTACAAAGATGGCCATGATCCAGAACACCCATCTCCATCCGAGGTCCTTCGCAATGAAGCCACCGATTACAGGCCTATTAGGCTGGTTAGTAACCTCATATTCGGTAGAGAAAGTAAACATACCCGATGACAGGGCCCAAGAAGTAACCAGTGAAGAATATCGACATCACAAAACCTCTTTTCGACAATTCAACCTGATCGGCAATACTACCACCACCAATATTCATCGGCCCAGCACCGAAGCTCCCGGCAATAAACCGAAAGACAATAAAGGTAGCGATGTTTGGTGCAAGGGCACTGCCGATCGAAAAGCCAAGTGTGACAACATTGCAAATATTGAGCAGTAATCGCCGTCCGTAAAGCTCTGACAGCGGCGAAAGAAGCACAGGGCCGAAAGCAAAGCCTAGAACAAAGATCGATACGACGAGGGATGTCACGGGTGGTCGAGTTTCGTGGAAGTCTTCTTTCAGGAGAGAAACGCCTGGGACGATGACAGATGATTCCAGAGGACTAATATGGAACTGTGAGATATAGGTGGTTATATTGGAGGAGACTTACGTGATGAAACCCAAGATAGACACAATTCCCAAGTTCAATGTTTTCTTCCGTAGGCTCCAATTCTGAGGATTCTCAGGATCTCGTTCCCAAGGGATTGGGATGCCTGGCTGTTGCTTCTCAGCGTCCAATTCAGTCGACATTTTTACACAAGAGCGAGAACCAGATAAAAGACGGCAATTTTGACATCCTATTTCATTTGGAGCATACTTCTCAATATCTTAAACATAGTCACCATGTTTCTGCCAATTTCTAGACACATCGTGATACCGCCAAGCAAACTGTGTTCGCTTTACGAAAATTACCCGATTAGGAAATCTGGTATCTCGCTCAGCGACGACTGGGTCAGCTTTTGGGCCTCATCGGAGTTTAGTAAGCTTGATCAGACCACAAAATGAGCTTTAGCCAAGCGGAAATAGTTGCATATGTCATTATTGTCCTCAATACCGGAGAATATCAGGTTTCAACGTTCACTGTCGCAGATTATGTAACATTCCACGTCGCTCAGCGATGCCGAAGCCATAATGGTATAAGTGACTAACTAACACCGAAAGGGACTATAAAATGTTCTGCAGTATATATGAATAAAATCACAAGTTCAAGAGACAGCAAAACACCATCTAGCCTTTTAAACGTCAAATACAATGTCAGAATTCTATACTCAAGTTCAACTCAGCGACGGAGTCAAGCTCAACGTCTGCATCCTCGGAGCTGAGAACAAATCGAAACCCTTGGTAATCTCTCTCCATGGGGCTCCAGGACTCTCGTCACACACTGGCATAAAAGAAGACTTCAAGTTTCTTGCAGACAGATTCCGCGTTCTCGTGTACGATCTTAGAGGCAGTGGAGACAGTGAGGTCAAGGGACCTTTCATCGACGAGCAGTGGATCTCGGATCTCGAAGAGCTCAGGTAAGTGATCGGGGAGCAATTATCTTAGGAATCGAGGTTAAAATTCTTTACAGAGCCTGGGTGGGAGACGAGAAGTTCATCCTTGCTGGGGGGTCCTACGGTGGCTTCCTTGCGCTGAACTACGCCCTCAACTACCCAAACCGTCTCCTGGCCTTGATACTTCGTAACACCTGGGCATGTGGTCCCCAAGGCACACACCGCGCACTAGCAAACATCCTCCTATCCAAACGGATTAATCCCGACCCCATGCGCCAAGTAAGGCTCTGGACCGGCAACGTACAAAGTCGGGAAGATGCAGAACAAGGCATGGCCGAGATTGTCCCCATCTACACCCCGGAACATAGCCTGGAGCCTGAATCATTTGAAGGTGCGAGCACTGAACTTCGCTGGGAGGTTCACAACGCTGCGTTTTCTTGGTCACAGCCTCGTTTTGATGTAAGGTCCAGGCTGTCTGAGATCAACGTTCCGACCTTGGTAGTTGTTGGAAAGCTTGATATCATTTGTCCCGTTGAAGAGTCTGAGATGATCCAGAGGCGTATTAAGGGTAGCGAGCTTGTTGTTTTTGAGAAGTCAGCTCATAATCCTGCTACTGATGAGCCGGAGAAGTTTCGGGAGGTTCTCTCGGATTTCCTTGGGAGGCTTGCGTGGTAACTGGGTTGATAGATCTGGTTTATTGATGTCTTGGATTCAACATCGGAAAGGCAACTTATAAACCATCATTCATTAGTTAGGTTCCGATATCTCAACTTACATTCTTCTATCGCTGTTGATGCCACAAATCTTACACGTCACGATCACTCCGTTTGGAGCCACAGCTACTAATCATGAGACAGGCGCTCTAATCGCTGGTATTTCGCGAACAATGATGATTCAAGATATACTTGTGGCTATCAATATTATTACAATAAATCAGCATCATTCGAATATGCTAAGCTGGTGCCCACCACTCGCAACTTATGTATGGAGTCAGGCGATTGCTCCATCGTTTCCCGGTCGGAGTCCATGTAGAACCAGAATATGCACTGTCCTGAGGACTTGGTCATTGGGATCTTTCCGATAGCTCGACTCAATGTAGGTGATGACGGCATCCAACAAATACTCCAGTATATTCTCTGCGGCGTCGAATTGGACCCTTTCGAGGCGCGGCGGCAAGCCTCTCACTAATATCTGATTGTCTCGGATATCGCCATCAAGCACAGGCAGCCAGATGTCCTCAAGGGTCATGCGCATGTACTGAACGTTGAGAAGTCTTGTGTCTGCTGTGAAGTTGTATGCTGTGTGAACTGGCACTGCAACAAGCCATTTCAAGGTATTCTTTCGGAGAGCAAGGACTTCGCAATGATCTTGGATGGAACAAAAGTTGGCTCCATAGCAATATGAACCTATGTAGAGAAATGACTCCAATGGTCCTGTTGCAGAAACCAGGAGCCGAAGTGCTTCTTTGCTCAATATCGTGCTCCGAAGGGCAATATGGCGAATATTGCGAAACTGTAGTGGATCTCGTAGTGCCAGACGACAAGGATTCACGGCTTCTAGGCTCTGAAGATTTGGAAGTGCTGCAATGAATCCGCCAATAGAACTTTCAGCCATATTGGAGGAATTGTGAAACACAGTCTGCCTGGAAGTCTTGCTTTTAATAGCCAGGATCTTCAAACGCTGAGGGAGGTGGTTTCTATGGATTGAAAGGGGCTTTCTGATCTTGTCGAGTATCTGGAATAAATCTTGAGCCATTGTCTCGAGGTATTCGAGGTTGGGTGTTTGAAGAAGGGTAAGTGCTCCTATAAACTTTTCCCATCCTATGATATTGAGGTCTTCTCCTGGGAGGTTGAGAGTATCAGAAAATTTATTCAAGGACTTAATCAGCCAGCCTTCCTCAGCGCGAGTGTCATCCGGATAGATATATCTCAACATAACCTGTTTGACTTGCTTGGCTAGTTCTGGGTCTCAGAGATAGTTCTACAAAACAGAACCTCGGCTTGAGGCATTACTTCAGAAAAGTCAAAATGGTGGTGGAGGGTTTTCTGCGCTATATAACCCCAGCTCTTACAGACCGTGGAGAGGCTAACGAGGGTATATCGAAGGGCTTTCGCATTGGCATCTTGTGCAGCGGATACACTGGGGAAGGCCTGGTGATCTCCATGTCCTTCGTGGCAGTGAAGACAAAAGTTCTCGCATATAATGTATATATAGGCCGCGTCAAGGCTTTGAAGATCCATGGTGTATCTTTGAGGAATCATAAGTTTTGAGATAAATAACCTGTAGATTTGGTACGTGCCCTGGAATTTGGACGCTTTATAATGAGACAGCTCAGGCAGCGTCACTGGGAAGTGTACTCTGACTAGGTACATTCGATCACTATTATTGTTTAGTCTGTGATTCTGTGACAGCATCTGAGTGATTCAGCTGGTGTGCTGTTTTGAAATGGAGTATTATTCGCTGTTGGTCGCATCTGTTCACATGGTCTGCCACTCCTTTCAGCAGTCACTCACTTGGCAGTAGATCGCTTTTCACTGAACTGCTTTTCTTAGGAGCGGCAGCATGACTGTTTCTGCATAAATTGGTGGCATTCAAGAATGGAGAGCTAGACTGTTGATAGTCGACTCGCATCCGAGATCCAAGGGGTAATCAGCCGTCGGGATGCAATACAAGCGGCTACGAGTCAATGCCATTTATCCTGAACAGTACAATTAAAAGCTTAGAGTTTATTCGCGTATTTATCAAGTTGAATCTTCCTTAAAAGTGTTAAAACTGATCCTAAATACAGTGTCTCTTAGGGGAAGTGACCGTCACATGATGACCAAATTCCAGTATATGTTCTTGACTATCAAGCGATTTGCCAAGTTCAGGGCTGATACTGTAGATTTTCCGCTACCAGTCGTTGCTAATTCTCTTCATTTTCCAATGTCGGGATTAGTAACACACCAAGGCGGCATTTCATATCTTGGGCCAGACATCTTGGTGAAAGTCAACCTCATCAGAGACAAGCCTTCCACGCCTGGTCTTCCGACACATGACAAACATGGTTATTCTCCCGTGTTTTAGGAAAGATTGGAATCTTTTCTTGACTTTCTCCCAAGCCGATTTGTTTATAGCCATAGGAAGTTCTGTAGGCTCTCTTTCAACGTTTGTTACAACCCGTATAACTACATGTCGTAGCTTTTGTTCCGCTGGCCCATCTCGAAAATTCGATGAGATATATTTAGCCAGAGCGTCTAGGACTCCTATTATCGTAGTTTCCGAGATCTCGAGCCGTAGTGTGAAGAGATTAGGTGGGAATATATCTAGTAAGGCATGTTCCTCCAGGATTGGCTCTGCCTTCTTTGGGCTCCAAAAACCTTTACAGGAACCGCATTTCGCTCACATTGGTGAGGCTTTTGGCTGCTGTGAAGTACTGAGACTTTTCTGAAGCCTCCAAATGTAGGCTTTTCAAGCTATGCTTCTTAGATATCAGAAGTTCGCATATATCCTGGAGGGTGACGCCATTAAAATATAGGCCATAATAAGTAAATATCTCCAATGAACCTGTAAACGAAAGGAACAATCGGAGTTCTTCCTGACCAAAATGACTAAAATTAGAGTACAAGGTCAGGGTTCGTAAGTTGGACAGACTCAGCCGACTTCGAAGTGACTGTGGATCGGGATTGAATATGAACATGTCGCGGATTCCTGGACTAGCCGATAAGAGTCGTCCCATACAGGCCTCGGATAGATCTAGGGATCCGCCGGTGTAAATTCCGTTGTTCTTTAGGGGTGTGACATTTAGAGTGGTAATACTTCGAGGAATAACGCATTGTTTCCCTACAAAGAGCGTACGGAACTTTCTCATGATATTATTCAAGTGTCCGTTCTGCATCGAAAGCTTATCGAGGGTCGGGACTTGGAGCAAAATAAGGGGCGCAATGAATTCTCCCCATTGCGAGATATCTGGCAGAGAGGACGCTTCCGGAAAGTCGAGAACTCCTGAGAGCTTGTTCAGCGACTTTGCGAGCCATTCTTCGTCAAGACTCCAGTCGTATGCAGAGATTTGTCTTATTCGAGCCATTTTAACATGCTTTCCAAGCTCCGGATTTTCAGAAAGAGTCCTGCAGAATAAGAACTCTGCCCTTGGGTGAGTTTCGAAGTAGCCAAAATGATGATGCAGTACTTTCTGTGCGATATATCCCCATCTCTTGCAGACGAATGAGAGACTGAAGATCGTCTGGCGGTGTTCTTTGGCGGTAGGAGGGGATGGTATCTCAACCGTACGGCCTACGGCCGGCCAATCCTCATAGAGCTTGTGGCAATGAGGGCATATGTTCTCACAGATTAGAAATATGATCTCCCGTTGGAGGTTCTGTATCAGCATGTTCTTCATGCTTACTTTCCGATATATGATAGTGCGCAGGTTTGTGAGTTCTAAGGGCTTGAGTTAGCCAGGTTGTAACTGGGAGGAAGCCGGGGCCTTTTATAGTCCAAAGATGAGCTGAATGACTGAAAGGTGCGAACAGTTTCTCACGGCAATCTACTGTTTGTCACTCAATGCTATGCTCTTGTATCACTGTAATAGTGCACAGCTTGGTACCTGATCAGCATGTGCTGATTATCGTCATGAAGCACTGTTGGCGTGTGCCTCCTGTAAGAAACAGTAGTCAACCGATCACCAGCGGGTTGTCTAGGTTGTGACTGACTATCTTTTGTAAGCATTCTCAACTAAACTTGGAAGCATAAAAGACCTACTTCCGCATGCATGAGTTTATAGACTAATGTTCGCTTGTCAAGGAAGAACATTAAATACAGCTTGGATCTCACATAAGAAAATTGCAGTAAGATAACTGAAGAATAGCATATTTCTATTTTATCTGGCTAGGCTGCTGAAACACCTCAATTTATTAGTCTAGGTACACTACATGTTCTCCATAGCCTCGCGGCTCAACATAATGCCCCAATAGTCCTTAAACCAATCAATCGTTATAGACCGAGTTCACTTCAATATCCCCCCTCTTAAGGAAAAGAGCGCATTCACGTCTTATTCTCACCCAAGAAGGATCCTCCTCCTGTACCGGCGGGTTTCGTACCCCTTCAGGGGGGATGCCTAGATGAACGTGGATCTGGACACTTTTCAGTATTTGATCCTCGGGGTTGTCGGGACAGTTTGACAGAATGTATTTCGTGAGTGCGGCAGATAGCCCCTCCATGTCTTCACGATCAGCCTCGAATATTACGGTTGAAAGTGCCGGGGGGAATACGTCCACTAAAGCCTGGTCATGTAGCGTTGGCTCGCTTTCTGTTCTCTTCCAGATGGATTTTGTTGCGATGCGTAGCCAAGTAACGTTTTCAAGGGTTCTTGCCGCTGTAAGATAACGTGCTTTGTAGTGCGTCAGTACTGCCGCTTCTGTCAAAGTGTCTTTCTTGGTCGTGAGGACTTCGCATATGTCTTGAGCTGTGGCTGGGTTTTGTTCCTGTGTGAAGCCTCCCATGTACTTAAAAACTTCAAGTGGCCCCGTGGCAGACACCAAAAGCTGTAGCTCTTCCCGACCCAGGCACACGTCTATCAGATGAAGATTACGAACACTGTCGAGCTCTAAAGGACTCTTTATCGTTTGGCGAGTTGGGTTTCCAATTACCAGGATATCAAACCCTTGGATATTTGACAGTAATCCGCCGCCAGCTGTGTCGGAGAGGTCGACTGGGCCCCTCAAAGGGAAGACTTCCTGGCAGTGCGGCCCTTCAGACATGGTAACTTTGACGACATTTTGAGGAAAGGTATGCAAATGACTTTCGGATGGCTTCTTGATTTGCTGCATCAGATGGTCGAGATTTCGTGTGTCTATCTGGAGATCTTCGACAATTGGTATATGAAGCAATATGAGTGGTATAATAAACGATGACCATGCTCCTTTGCTGAAGTTGAAAGGCTTCTGGGGAAGGTTCAGAATGTCCGAGAATCTTTCCAGTGACTTGAGCAGCCAAGCATCATCATCTTTGTCGAGATCCCAATCCAGTTGAGAAATCTGCCTAAGGTAGATCCGCTTAACAAAGCGGCCTAGCTCTGGCTTTTCGCAGAGAGTCCTGCAAAATCTGACATCGCCTCTATCGCTTCTCTCAGGAAAGCCATAGCTGTGGTGGAGCACCCGTTGTGCTATATAACCCCAGCTTTTGCAGAGCAAGCAAAGATCTAGCTGGGTTTTCCGTATGCCCCTCTCTCCTGGTGAATCGATATGTAGGAACGAGGCGGGTGTTCTCGTGTCTATTTGACAGTGCAGACAAAGGCTCTCACAGATTGTGTATATAAGCTCCTGAGGCAGGTTCTGAAGGTTCATGTTGACTGCACAATAATGGGATATAAAATAATGCTGTCGAGATGGATTGTTTGTTCGGCAAGATTGAGCTGGACGAACTTGCTCGAGAGATCTTTGAGGTCTTTTATAGTCCGGAGACGGGGTGATCCACTGTATATGAGATTGGTTTATCACGGATGTCTCTGGTGTTCTGAACAAGGCTTCATCCTACGCGACCGGTGGTGTGCCGGCTTCAAGCACCTGTCGTTCTTGTCCAGGAGGGCTAGTTATCACAGCCCTCTTCTGTCCAACAGTTGGTCACCTATGACCGCATTCGCCATTCACGGAACTTAGGGGTTAGTGAATGTGAACTTGAACTTGGACTGTCTGCTTATGGTCCCCAAGAAGGCGATACAATGTTAGTGTCCCATCATTCTCTTTCTTAATCATAGAGAGATTTGACTGGCTTGTGCAATCGAACCGCAGCCTAAGGCTTTTGTAACCCCGTCTACTTGTGCCTCCTGGTTTAATAACACTGGTTTTCTTGTAATGCAGCACTGCCGGTAGCTTGTGAGTTACTGTAACTCCAAATCTTGACACTTTGGACGTGTAGCACAAAGCTGAGGCCTGTTTAAATGCAGCTTGATGTGCATTTCTGTTTTAGATACAGGTTCGGGGTCTAATCCATATGTCAGAACATGTCAGGGCAGTGTATGAATGCTTAACAAGCCGTCTTGGACATTTGTGTATTCAGCATGTTTCCTCCAATAGACAACTTCAACCGCTTGCCACACCGGTCTTATAATAAGTTTGTTTTGTGTTTGGCTATGCAGGTTTCTGAGAGAACTTGAATAAAAGCCGATTATGTTCATGCCAAATCTATTGTGCTGGATAGTTTTGATAGCAGAGTGAGTAATCAAAAACAGCATTTCCAAGCTCTATTAGACTAGAACAACCCTCTCTAAATATCATAAGGCCGCAACATTGTGTTTTCACCAACCCCATCGCAGCTATACCATAAGAGCGGTGCTGTCGTGACGGTTATACATCCATTCTTGAGCCATAATGGGCTACATTCGCTGCGTAGGCACTCCCCTTCACTTGCGTTCCTATCCCTCAATGGCCGCCCTAGAACAGGCGCTGTCCACGGTGCTGGATTTGGAATGGATTTATCCACAAAATGAAGAGTCACCTCTTTTAACTTTTGCTCCTGGGGGGGTTCTCTGTAGGTAGACGATATGTAAGATGCCAAAGCCTCTCGATATCGAGGTGCGTCCGTGTGGCTATGATCAAGGCACAGCGTCTGTAGGTTCGGTGGGAACACATCGAGGAGGACATCCTTTGCAAGGACCAGACCATTAGTTCTCATGGTGGGGATATCGCATAATACTCCTGCGTTGACTCGCAATTGTTGCAGCTTGACTAGCTGGGCCATGGTAGTAGGGAGCCGTTCTGAGCTGTGCATCTTCATAACGACTCTCTTGAGTGTATCTTTCATGGGTAAAAGCATCTCAAATATCTCCTGAGATGTAACCGTGAGTGTTGATCCACCCGTGCCTTCAATCTCCCTATAGACAAACTCTTCCAGGTTTCCTGTGCTGTTGATGAGTCTCTGCAGCTCATCCTTGGAAAGGCAGGCATTACCAATCCGAAGCCTGCGTAGCTTCTGTAGTGGTAGTTTCTCTGGAAGATTTTTAAAGGTAGGTCGCGATATGGAAAGCGTCTGGAGGTTTTCCAATATCATGAGAAATCCCCCTAAAGTATTTAGACCTGTTTCAACCCGTGGTTCATGATACCAGAGGCTGGATATTCGCTGTTGCCCTACCGAAAGAGACTCGAGTTTCGGAGTCAGAGCCTTATTCTTTATGACGGCTTCCATACTGAATCCTTGGAAAATGGACGAACTATATAGGCGGTGAACGACGAGAAGCTTGAGGTTGGTTGCCCGAAGCAGAATAATCGGTGCGATATAATCTCCCCATGTGGTAACAGAGCTCTGTAGCTTCAGCGGTTTCTGCCCAAGCAAGTGCCCATACCTAACCATGGATTCCTTATACCAAGAGCGGTAAAGTAAATGCTGGTCGCCGGCTACGTGTTGCTTGAGCATAGCGACTTGTAAGTGCTCGCCAAGTTTTGGATTCTCACAAATGGTCCTGCAAAACTTGATCTGATACTCATCCTTTGAATGCTTGAAGTAGTGATGAAGGATATTCTGTGCAACGCATCCCCAGCTCTTGCACGTCTGGCTGAGGCTGAAGAGAGCCTGGCTGTCCTTATCCTTCTTATTATCTAAGATCTGCTCGTGGGAGGCGGAATGTTTCTCTTGGCAATGTAGACAGAAATGCTCGAAAATCTGATACAAAATCTCTGCTGGGAGTGGTGGGTTTTCCATAATGACGGGCTATGGGCTTTGTTTCTTCTTTAACCTTGTCTGATATCTCAATAAGATAGATCAAGGATAAAATGTGTGGATGTCTCTGGCTGACGCCTCGGTGAGCTAGAAAGGATGTTGCAACTGTGGCTGGTCGTTTGATGAATGGTTCAGTGCCTGCAAAGCTTTTGCTAAACGTATGTTCCTGGTGGCCAGGTCTTTTTTTGCTTGTGACTGAGGGATTGGGCTTTCCTACGCCCTCTTGTAAGGCTACAGTTCAACAACTGATACTGGTTCGTTGATATATGGATGGATGGTTGATACAAGTCTAGATAAGTATGAAGAAGGATGACATTGGGAGGACTCATGACGAGTCTTTAAATGCTGGAACGAACAAGCTTTGATACAAGATTAAGTGTTGTTGATGTCAAGTCTGCTTGTGATTTGGTGAAACTCTACCTATGTGACAAACTGTATTCTTCGGCTCGTAACTGTATCACTTGATGTGATCTCCTGATTTACCGATTGCTGTTTGACTTTGCAAAATGTCTGACCCAAAAGACTGATGTGGCGTGTGAGAACTTTGTTGCCCCTAGATCCATTCAGCTTTAGGGATCTCAAAATTCAAAACTGAGGCTATCTCGCTGCCTGTTCCACCGAACCTGTATTGAAATAATTGAAAAAAATTAATGTTGAGTATATAAATACTTGCTGTTTAGAGCCTGG